GCCCGGCTCCGCGTGTCACGTCACCGCACAACCTGGCAATGACCTGGGGGCGGGGCGTGAGCGCCCTCCCCAGCCATTTTGCTAAAGGGAAAAGGGAGGGGAGGGGAAGGCTTTTAGCCCGTACAGGCAACCCCCGCCCCCTCCCCGGATTGAAGTCAGTTGTAAGAAAGGGCAAGGCAAGTTCCGGCTGGTGGGAAGCGTACCGCCATGCTGGAATTGGGTACTGAATAGCGAGTGAAGCTATTGCGGAGCCATCTTGGGTGTGGGAAAGCTGACTGGCTGTCAGGCGAGGCGTCTCCACGGGACAGGGTTCCCCTGGGAATACACAGAAAAAATGCGTTTAGCGCAGCGTGAGAAGCCAGGCTGTGAGCGCTCCACAAAACTGACCTTTTTTTTTCGGGGCCTCTGGCAAGGCAGGGCAGATTTCCTGGGAAAAGGAATGGTGTTTCCCAGGGAATCTCTCATTTCCAGGCCCTCAACAGTACCCAGCAGCCAAGTTTCCTGGTTTTGCCCCACGCTCAGGCCGCCACCAAATCCCTCGTAAAGTAGGCAAAAATCGGCACTTTGAAGCGCGTGTTGTGAGAAAGACCTTTGGTCGCTTGCACAGGAGCAGGCTGTATAGCTGGGAGCAGCCCTGCCCCAGAGAGGGCTGCTGGCACCCTCACGGGCTTCCCTGGGAATCCCAGTTGGCACCAGTTAGATCCAGAGCTGCGTCAGCCGGGCCCCCGAGAGGGATCCTGAAAGTGGGTTTTGACTTGCGCCGCTAGCGTGGCTGAACCAGCCTTTCTGTTTTACAGCCTTCGTGGGGCACACTGCAGGGCAGCTGCGCAAAAACACGACCAGCTGAGACGGTGCTGTGCTGCGTGTCAAAAGTTTCCGTGAGGACAGCCAGGGTGTTCCCTCAGACCTCAGCTCATGGAAGCACTCGGCTCAGAAGAAGAGTAATCAGGAGATTGGCGATCACCTTAATTATCCTATAAGAATTGTTAAAAGGGAACTGTCTGTCTGGCCACCTCAGTGGTTTACAGAGGCGACGCTTTCTGTGCTTAAAGGAGGAACAAGGCAGCAGGAGACACAGTGGCTGACGTCACGTGGGCAGTGTGTTAGAGCTGTGGAAAAGCCCAGGTTTTGCATGTTTCTGCCCATAAAGAATGCTGTTATTCGAGCCACTGCCTCTCTTGTCCGTGTCATTGAGGGATCTAATGTCTCAGTGATGACATTACCTGACAGACGTTTCCTGTTTATTTCTTTTTTAATAACAATACCAAACACTCACAAAACATTTTTCACTTTACAGCAATATCAAGCATTAACTAATTAACCTGCTCACACCCAAATGAGCTATACGATGTCATTATTACATGTCACTACAGTGATTCAGTGGCAGAGGTAGAATTATGTTCATAGTCCTAATTCACATTTGTTCCAGCAGACTGTACAGCTTTGCACATCTGGAAGGTTTGCAAAACCATCATGAATAATTAACTGGTTCATTCTGATAATTTCTTAAAATAATGCATCAATTTATTCCAGGTAGAAGACTTCAGCTGTGGAATTCAGTCTCTTAGTCACTCATAGGAGCCTAAAAGTGTTGTCTTTCAAAACTCCTATTACCATCCTATGATGTGCTGAGTGCCTCCCCTTTTCAATCGGTATAAAAAAAAAATTCTTAGAATCTTTTGGTGGAAATAAGAGGATAATTTGGTGGGACTCTGAGGACTTTTGTTCTGCATTAGGAATCTCAGCCTTGCTTTTTACCTGTTTTTTTCTTTACACCTTTGTCCATGACCCAAGGACATGTGATCTGGACCCTTTGTAAGCCCAAATATAACCAATGAAATTATTGAGGACTTTATTCATTGCTTCTTTTGTAGATAAGATAATTTTCCACTGTTAATGCTTTTCTATTTCGGTTGTTCTCTCTTGACAGTACTTTAATCTCAGCCAACCCATAGAACACCTGTTGTTCTGAGATGATTGGTTTGAGGTGTATGTCCAGATCTCAAAAAAAAAAAACCAAACCAAAACCTGGAAAACTGTGCTGCTTTCATCAGAAATTAAATTGTTCCATATGGACACAGCCAAGAGTTGCTTTTTGCTTATATCTTTACTTCCAGAATATATAAAATGCATCATCTCCCCTCTCTCTTCCTTTGATCTTTCAGTCCCACTATCCATTGTTACAGTGAAGAACTGTAGAAAAGTATTGACTATGTTTCTCTGTTTCTAATAATGATAAGAACTGCTTTTTCTTCAGTGAAACATAGGAACCCTCAGCAGAACCAGCGCACCAGACCTTGTTCTTAGTCGATACCATGTTAGGAAAAGGCAGGTGAAAAGATGATAAAACCGGTCTTTTTCTAATGACTTTTCTCTCAGTAAAAATAAAGGTTTAACTGAAATTCATTTTAGAAATTAATCTATCCAAGTGGCTGGAAAGCCTGCCTTTCACCAAACTGGAGGGGGCTATGATACCAGTTCAGGAATGACCACAAGCATGGAATGATTTGATAATTTAGGCTTCATATAACAAGCGCATCAGTAGAAAAACTGTGGATTAAAAAGTCATGCTTTGGCTGGAAAAAAAAGAAGGAACCAAGTCTCTGCATCCAATGGTTAAATATTATAGAGCTGCCTCGCATTGTTCTCAAGGAAACCAGTATGCCCTATTTTAGATCTTTTGAATTTGCTCATTTGTTTCATTTCTCCTTAGCATATGAATCATCGAGCAGGCCAGTTTTTGTGTTACCCAACAGATGTACATTTAAAGAGAAATTATACCCAGTTTCTTAGAAGCAGAAGTGAAAGGTTCCAAACAGAATTTAAGAAAAAAATCAGAGCACACAATAAATTATTCTGATCACAGAGGGAAAAGAGAAACTGTGCTCATGTAACAATTTTCCACCTAATTTAATAGAATTGTCTGTTAAAAAAACCACTCCTGTGAAAGCCGCATCCAACCTCAGGTTCAGTTTATGTAAAAATATATAAATATGCAACCTGTTGCAGTGCATAAAATTCTGTTATCCTGTGTTAACTAGAACTGTTCACAAACTTCCATCAGTAGGCAAACATAATACAAATTCTGAAAATTATGAATTCTTTTTGCACAAGCTCCTAAAGTCATTGTGATATATTTTTGTGGGCTTTTCTTAGGTGGATTCCTATTTGATAAAGTTGTTGGAAAAGGCAAGTGACAAGTCCTTCAGTCAAAAAAGGACCCTAATGTTTTGAGCATATATGAGTAAACACAAATAAATACATATACACTCCCCAGTATTTTATTTCTGTGGAGTTGTTTCTCTGCAGAACGTATTGTGTCCTAGATAAGAGGTTTGTAATATACTCCACTCATGTAATTAGCCAATATTTTCAATAAAACTTTTATAAACTTACTAAAAGTATTGCTAGATTTACCAAGGTTGGTACCATTCTTTGTGCATACCTCCACATAAGTGGGTTGCCTTTTTTTGCCATGGATAAGTAGATTAACAAGGTATTTTTAAAAAAAAAAAAAGAGGAAAAAAATTTTGAGAGATGTAAGCTCTTGCCTCATTGGTGTGTTCAAGAGCTGCTTCCTGTTGCTTTATTTGATAAAGCAGTTTTTCTTCTCAGAGGCAGACACGAGTTACGCTACCGATAGCATCACAGTGAAACTGCTACGTGGGGACACATGGCTGCCTAGGTAAGTGCTGAAAACCCAAGAAGTCAGCTACACAACTTATGTTCTGGTGCAGATTTCGCACTGGCTCTGCCCTAATGTGATGCTGACATCACACAAAAAAAGAAGGGACACAAAAGGGGCTGGAAAAGATTGCTTTGGGAGGAGGAGTATTTCACTCCCAGCATCAGTGCAACATGAGACAAAAGGGCAAATGACATCAAAAGATTGCATTAGGCAAGACATGCCAGCTTGATTTATTGTTGTAATGGTATTGCCACGATCAAAATGCCCGTTGCTTAGGAGAGAGGGGAAGGATGGAGAAGAACAGTATTTGGGGGTGAGTTTTCAGGATTCTGAGCTGTCCTGTCTTCACTGCAAAAAATGCCTCAGTCCTCCCAGGGGGTTCCAGTAGCTCTTCTATTATTGTTCTTTAATATTTTATGGCACTAACGAGGTACTCAGCGCTATTTATATGAACATACACAATGCTTAAAACTGTGCTAAAAGTAGCTTCTTTGAATACCATGTCTCATGTACAGGAAAATATTTTGTACAACATCTTTCTATATGCATAGAGGAAAACATGTTCCACATAGAGCAAAATAATACTCACCTGTATGGCCTACCTCTTAAAAAGTGTAGATTTTTTTTTTTATTTGTTCATGTTAACAGAATTTTTATGCTCTATAAAACAATCCATAAAGCTTATCTCAAAGTTAAAATGACTGAGTTCTTTTAGACCTGTTCGAGTTTCACAGAATCTCATGGAGACCTGTGAGTGAAATTTATTGTTGCGTGAGGAAAAATGCTGTTCGTTTTAAGGAAAAATGTCCCTGTTACTGAAAGGCGTATTTCAACTCTCCTGAACTGTGAAGTTTTTCAGAATTTAGTTTTGAGATCTGCTCATTAGGAAAAAAGATGCAACTATGGAAGGTCCTTGTACCTGAGGAAATCACCTTGGCACTAGAACTTCTTTTGAGAACACAAAGCAATCTACTTTTGAGAGAAAAAAGAAATCAAGAAAACCATCTGTCCTTCCACCTTATGGCTGATATACAGTAGCACCAGTACAGCAGCTACTGCACTAGCTCACACAACATTGTTTTCTTCCCCTGAAACTTATCTAAAAAGCAAAATACTTGCAGAAGTTTACCACATTATAATGACTATTGCTTACAGCAACTTGCCCTTTTATGAACTTGAATTTGAAACAAAGGGTGAAATGTATCAGTTACAGATGTTTCCAAAATTAAACTGATGTTTATTAGCTAATGGAAGAATTTTTTTTTCAGTTAGTGACTAAACTTTTCTGTTGATAACACAAAATCCTTACAATCTTCTCCATCTTCCCTAATTTTCCAAACTATGGTAGAATTCATTTATCTGAAAAATAAAAAAGACTCTTCCATTCTCCCCTTGTTTACAGATAAGAGTATGGAATTCCGTTTTGTATTTGTGCTTATGAAAGTATAACTTCGTTACTTTCAAAATGTCATAAATGGAGAGACCACATAAATCTGTCTTTCAATCTGAAAAAAGGTACTGTAGGAATGCATCAGTACAAATACAGTATGTAATAAGTACTTTTCACCAGAAACTTCACAAGGTTCCTTTCCAGGCTTGTTTGCATACATTACTTTAAGTGTAGCGTTTGATAGTCCATTTCTCTAAATTTTATGCCGACTGCCTTTTTTCAGAGTTCTTTTGCAGCAGGTTTTCTGAAGCAAAATGACAAAGAGACAGGGACAATGATAATCATTGAATAATGTGGCTAAAAGAAAAAAATTACTGTTGAGAATTTTTTTTCGTTTGAAACATATCTGATACCAAACAAGTCTATAAAGTAAGTCACAAGTCTACAGAATTAGTCACATGTGTTTGGACCATAAAAGTCAAACCATCAGGCTATATCGTTAAACAGAAATTCCTCGACAGTTTTTTAGAAAAAGTTAACAATCAGTGGGGAAAATTATCAAACATTGTGTTTTAGGATAGCTGTAAGCCAATACCATCCTCCTGGACAAAACCAGCAGGTACACTCAGCAGCTGAGATAAAACCTGGGAATGCTTCAGATCATGCATTCAGGTAAGACAAATCATTTTGCATTCCCTAGTCCTAATTACCAGGAAAAAAAACTAAGCAAGGAAGTATGATACGGGTGGCTTCCCCTGAGATAAGGCCCCAAGGAATTGTCATGAAATGTGTTGTAATCACCGCGCAAAACAGTGCTTTCTGCTTTTACGTTTCGGTGCAAGAAGCCGCAGCATGCATTATGGTATACTTCATTTGCTGGCTCTTTGACACACTTCGCTATAGGTCATCAATACATGCCAGAATGACACATTCATTATTCTCATTGAAAGGATGTCCTTGTATAAGTAGTACCAATGTGTCATCAAAGCTGGGACATGGATTACCTGGGAAATCTTAGACAGCCTCCAGGGCTTTGTTCATGGAAACTACAGATGATACTGGTTAAAAATAAAAGAAACACATGGGGTACAGTGACCTGTGAACATGAAGGACAGAAAAAATTGCTGAGGTGGCAAATTTCATGTAGTCTCAGTTCTCTTATTTGAATCCCATCTTCACAGTGCCAGCCTGCCATTAGCCAGTTACACCTTAAAATATTAGTTCCTTAAGGCAGATGGCAGAAAAGCAAGCAAGGTCTTCTCTGGAAGAGCACGTGGTTTATTCAGACAAGTACAATATATGTGTTTTACCTTATGATCAGTGAGATCAACAGAGCAAAACCTTTAGAAACAATGAGTGAAAAAGAGAAAGTTGAAGAAAAAAAGGTGGGTGGTATGAAGAATTTGGCATGTTGGTCTGTGAGTTGAAAGAGCTGATCAAGGTAACTGAGAGGAGTTGTTGTGAGTACCATGGAGACAAGTCGGGAGCTTATAAGGATGATGAGTCTGTAATATAACAAGTGGACTAACAATAGAGAAAGAGTTTGTGGGGGAGGGAGAAGGAATTCCAGTTTCTCAGTCACATGACTAGTAAACACTGCCTCATACACTAGCTACATTACACACATGCTTCTGAAAGGGCACATTTCCCTGATGAAGACATCTGTCATAGGAAAAGAGATGCTAAATGTGTTTAGGAGAAGTGGTAGGTATTTTATCTTTTACTTATCTGGTCAGTCTGCATATGTTTGCCTTGCTTTTGGTGAGAAGTGGGTCAGCAAAACCCTGGGATCCAATTTCTAGAGCTAGATTTTTAATTCGTGATACTTATCTATACTGGTAAGCTTACAATGTCCTATTTACCATGTGGTTTTATTAAACCACACTGAAAAGCAGACATCTTGTGTTTGTCTTAAGTATAGACACTCTTTTTTTAACTAGTCATCATGTAAACAAAACTGCTCAATGGACCGAATTGGCAAGTCTTTCTCAAGAATTTTTCTTGTGTTTTGAGCCTGTAAATGAATCTAGCTCTAACTGTGAAAAATTAGCCAACTTGATCAAATAAAGCAGTGGCTGCTAAAATTAAATATGTGCTTTCTGACTAGTTTTATCATTGCTCCTTTTTTTCTGAATATGCATGAAAGTTTGTGGGGTTTTTTTAATGGAAAAGAGATCCATAGAATAACGTCTCAACAGAGGCAATAAACCTGCTTGGGTTTCTCTGATAAACCCACAAACCTACACGCACACGTGCATCAACCCATAAAAGGCAGACTGAATTTGCTTGCCACATGGGAAAATCCCTGCACCCAAATTATCTTCGGTTTGAGCGGTTCCCTATGTGGGAACAGTTGTGGATGGTGCTGTCTTGCAACCTGCTTGTTCTACAACCTTTTCACCTCCTCTGCTGGCAGTCTAGGTTCAAACCACGGTCTCTGAAGCAGTTAGTATATTTGGCAGTAGAACCGTACCACAACAAATATTCCCCATTCTCGTATTTCCTGAACTTAACAATTAGATCTTCGGAGAAGAGCATTACTGGCTGTCAGAGCTGTGATATAATCAGCGAGTACCAGCTGTCTCGTAGCTATGGTTTGTACACCCTTTCTTACTTAAAGGTCAGCTCTTCTAAGTGTTTCTAAGGCTCACGCACACAACTTTTCCAGTCCCACTGCTCTAGTCAGGGCTGCCATTTTACTGGCATTTTCTTGTTGAGGCTGTCGACACCCACAGCCCTGGTAGTGCCTAAGGTAAGCTTAATTGCTAATGGCTTTATAAAATCATGCATGACAACTGCAATTCTTAGATGAAAGAAGTGTAAATGAAAGCTGTACTCAGAATCTCCACCTCACATGAGTCTAAGTGACACCCTGGGAGATTCTCCTGTCATGCAGGAACCCAATAGCCTAGCAGGTTTCACATGAGGGTTGCTGGGACTTGCAGTAAGCTTCACTGGAATATCACTGTTGTTGGCAAGTTCTTGGGGTATCTCATACAAAGGAGAGGAGGGGAAGTGGGGAAGTGAGAGGATGAGACAAGACAAGAGAGTGTTTCACAATAGGGAGAAATACCAGCCGCACATTCTCCTCTTCTGAGTAGATCCCAACATCTAGCAGTACCTGGATCCCTGTCTTTCTCTCCTTGTCTCTCCATTGACTTAGAGGGGAGGAGGTTATTGGAGATAAGAAGTCTGCCATATTCATACGGCCAAAACCCTATTCTGTTCACCAGAATAATAGAAAGTGCACTTCTGTTATTTGTGGTGTACTTTCTGATTTCCTTTAATTCTCTCAGAAGAGAGATCTGGGATTACAGGTCCCTGCCCTTCTGGAAGTGTCTTAATTACTCATCCTGTTTCTGCTGTAGAAGCTTGCATCTAACTGACTTAAGCACTTAAGACATTTGGGTTGCTCTTCCTATGCACTCCTAACTCCAGGAATGTTTAAAACTTTTGATCTCTTACAAACACAGTTTCTTTCTTCTAAAGAAAAGATACCCACCAAGAAGCCCATAAAAAACAAACAAAAATGTTGTTATAACTGACATTTTTCCTTTTTGGTAACAGAAGGCTGCAATCTTACCAACCATGTCCTGGAGAACTAACAGATGACAACCTATCAGACTACAGAGAGGGGTTTATTGCATCCAGGCTGGAATTAGCCCAAAGATACTGCTCGGGGTGGACAATGAACAACACTGTAAAGTGCCAAGATGATCACACCCTGGATAAGTATTTGTTTCCATTTGTGTACAGCATTGTGATGATGATCAGTATTCCCATCAACTGCATAGCCCTCTATGCATCTTGCATTCAGATGAAGAAAAAGAATGAGTTAGCCGTCTACCTCTTCAGCCTATCCCTGGCTGACCTTTTGTACTCTCTGGTTCTGCCTCTGTGGATTGATTATGCCTTGGATGGAGATAACTGGAGGCTCTCTGCCTTGCTTTGTCAGATTTCTGCCTTCCTTATGTATATGAATTTCTACACCAGCACTGCGTTCCTTGCTTGCATCTCTGTTGACAGGTACCTGGCATTAGTTCACCCCTTGAAGCTCCAACACTTGCGCACAAGAAGATTTTCATTGATGGTCAGCATAATTGTTTGGATTCTGGAAAGCATCTTGAATTCAGTTATATTGGTGAACAATGAAACATTCAATGATCCTTGCAATTCCAGTAATCATACATTATGCTATGATAAATACCCCCTGGAATCGTGGCAAGCAAAAATGAATTTATTACGGATATGCTCAGGATACCTGGTCCCTTTGATAGTCATCTTGTTTTGCTACCATAAAATCTATCAAGTAGTGAGGTGTAATCAAGCCACAGTAGATGAAGAAAAGAAAAAAGTGAGGAAACTTATTCTGAATATCACAGTTACTTTCATTGTTTGCTTCACTCCATATCACGTTATGTTGCTTATTCGCAGCATCAAAGAACCTAACAACCCTGACCAGCAGCTTTTGGAGTTGATGTATAAGGTTTACAGAATCACACAGGCCTTAACAAGTTTTAATTGCATTGCTGATCCCATTCTTTACTGTTTTGTGAGTGAAACTGCACGAGCAGACATACTGAATTTGCTCAGGTATTGCTTGTGCCTACAAAAGTGTGAGGGAGACCAAGCGAAAGACCATGCTCTGTGCAGTTCTGCTACAAAGAGCAGTGCGCTGATCGCCTGCAGAACTTCTTGTGAAATGGACACTGTCAAAAGTGCCTGAGCAAGCACATTCAAAGCAAAATTGGATAACCTAAAGGGGAAAGAAAGATAAATTCTTCCCCAGTCTCTACCTACGAAATACCCCAGAAGTCACAGATACTAAAGTGAAACCAGTAGCAGGAGCTAATAAGAACTTATTAAAGGGTCAATGAAATCAATGGAGCATCAACACATATCTTTAAATCAGGCATGGTACATCATGGTTCAGTCAATGCCAACAAACAAATGCACAGTCATTTTATTTTCTAGTTTTAGTAGAAACCTAAAGCTTAGCTAGGAAGGAGCCCCAAAAGGGTTTGGGGTTTTTTTTTTTTAATCAGTACTGTGATAGAAGTGCATAAAGCATGCACACATGAAGACCATGTGATTGACAAAGGAGCAGACAGAGGGAGGGTGGTAAATCTTCTCTCTAATTTCGTGGTGTAATTTATGCTGCTATGGTTCTTGTGTTTCAGTAATGACTTACATTCCCCTTCAGCGTACCCCTGAGATTAGCCACTTTTTAAAATTGTTTACCTTGTGGACAGGCACAAATTCTAGCCACCAGTGGTTTAACTCAGATGATGTTTTTCTTGATATGTGCAGGGAGGATAAGGAAGGATTGAAAGGTGAAGTTCCACATCTCTACAACATAAAGGACCAGCCTTTAGCCTTGCTTATTATGACTGAAATCTGGAGTGTGGTCACGTTTGCAGAGTCAATAGAGCAAGAAAGTTTATATCCGTTTACTTAACTGCACCTGGAGGCCTCAGCTAGAAGTTCTGGGCTTTCAGTCTGCCAGTTTTAAAAAAAAAATCAAACAAACCAACAGCAATACTGACAAAATAGCAAAGAACATGAAAGTACCAACAAACAATAAGAATGGCAGCAAAAGAACCCACATTTTGAAAAGGTTGAAGTTAGCACAAATCAAAAGTACAGCTGTTAATTTAGGGACCTGTTCCTGCACAGGTCCCTGCAACAACTGCATGGTTCCCTGGTAGCAGTGGGCACTCAACCCTCTGAAGAGTTAGAACACCATGGAAAGTCTTTTTTTTTCTCCTCTCATAACCTTTTCACTTTTGTTCAGTTGCCAGAAAGATTGCTTGGTTATGGTGGTTGTCCAGTTTTATAGGAAAAAAAAAATTATTTCCATCAAAAAAATCCCCCTCTAGCAAGTTTGTGTAGTGGAAAGGTTTTGAACAGCACTTTTCCAGCACACTTTTAGGTCTGACTTTATACTTGGAGGATGAGCATACAGTGGTCACAAGCAATATGGAAATTCTTGTGAGAAGACCCCTCTGCATGTAAATTACAAATTTCTCCATTACAAAGAGCCACTTTCATTGTTCTCAGGAGTTCCTGTTCGCGTCTATTTGTACTTTGAATTAATTTCACATTCCAAGAGGGGCACTTGAGAGTTGGTTGGGCTTGTTCAGCCTGGAGAAGAGAAGGCTTTGGGGGAACTAATGGCAGCCTTGCAATACCTGCAGGGAGGGTATTGAGAAGATGGAGCCAAGCTCTTCACAAGATTGCATAGCAGGAGGACAACAAATCATGTGCATAACTTGAAGCAAGAAGGGTCAGAGTTGATATAAGGAAAACTTCTGAACTATGAGGACTTGCAAGCAGTGGAACAGGTTGCACCAAGATGTTCTGCATGCTCCATCCTGGCAGGTTTTCAAGACCCAACTGAACAAAGGCCTAAGCAACCTGATCTGGCCTCATAGCAGACCTTCCTTTGAGCAGAAGGTTGGACTAGAGGCTTCCTGAGGTCCCTTCCAAGCAGAATTGTCCTGTGATCCTATGAACTGTGTATGTCACTATTCTGGCTGTTGTCTTCCTCTCTAAAAAATCATGTTCTCTTCTGTCCTGGTTTTCAGCTGGGACAGAGTTAATTTTCTTCTTAGTAGCTGGCATAGTGCTGTGTTTGGGATTTAGGATGAGAAGAATGTTGATAACACACTGATGTTCTAGTTGTTGCTAAGCAGGGCTTACACCAGTCAAGGACTTTTCAGCTTCCCGTGCTCTGCCAGAAGCCGGGAGTGGGCACAGCCAGGACAGCTGACCCCAACTGGCCAAAGGGCTATTCCATACCATATGATGTCACGCTCGGTGCAGGGGGAGTTAGCCGGGGGGAGAGGGATTGCTGCTTGGGATAGGCTGGGCATCGGTCAGCAGGTGGTGGGCAGTTGTATTGAGCATCACTTGTTTTGTATATTCTGTATCTTCTATTACTATGATTGTTACTACTTTTTTTTCTTCCCCTCTACTTTTTTTTATTAAACTGTCTTTGTCTCAGCCCACAAGTTTTACCTTTTTTTTTCACAATTCTGTCCCCCATCCTACCAAGGGAGGGGAGGGAGGGAGTGAGCAAGTGGCTGTGTGGTGTTCAGCTGCCTGTTGGGTTAAACCACAACAGCCCTTTTTGGCACCCAACGTGGGTCTGGAAGGGCTTGAGATAATGAGAGAGTAACCAGAGCTTATTAAGGAATTTATATCTGTTAACAGTTGCGGGTTGCGATATTGATTCATCTATTCTCGATCTTAGTTTATCCGATCTGCACCATGCTCCTTTCTTTGCTGTACATGGTAAAAATTGGTGTTGTTTTTTGCAGTTTGCTGTGCTCTGTGGTGATTAATGATCTTTTGCTTGGGACAGTTGTTATTAAAACAATGACCTTTAGCTTTATCTGGTATTTGGGTTTCATATAAAACTCTTGGGTACGACCTCACGGAGAAAATTAGCAATTATACGTCTGTTTCTGAGAAGTTTTTTGTGGAGGAAATACAGAATGGCACCTTCGCTACCTTCTTTTATGATGTTTCCTCCTTCATTACAATAACTTTTCAGTACCTTTAACATCCTCAGATAGTTAAGATATATCTACTGGTATTTGTTTGGAATATTGTTTCAGTTTTGTCCAAGGTTAGTAAGCAATATAAGAATACCATCCAGAGATCTGCCCCAGGGCTGGTAGTTATGAATGGCAGAGTGTTTGGGGTAGCATGTGCAAATGCCTCGGACAGTGGGCACCTCTAGTGTCTTGGAACTTCACCCCTGAATAAGCGCAGAATCCTGAAAAATTAGTAGAATATTTGGAAGAAGTATGCTGTCACCCTGGAAATTTTAGGGAGACACAAATCACTGCAATGTGCTAGGTCCTGGCCCATGCCTACTGAGCCCTGTTCAACACTATTCAATACATCTGAAGGGAAGAGAAAGTCTCTGGGTCTTATGACAAGGCCACAGGCACTGTGGCTACTCCAACCCTGGCCACAGGTGCTGCAGCTGAACCAGAGGACCAACCCCGGCCAATATCAGTCGCCC